AAATTGCCTTGTTTCTATTAAGTGCCAAGCTCTTCATACACATTTCACCGAAGCCCCAAGAGGTCAGCCTCATTACTTCCCTGTTTTCCTGCATTAACTTGAAACACAGTGACCTCAAGTAACAGGCCCCAGTTTACACAGCCCTTAGGGCCCTCGCCTGGATTCCAATCTTCAGGCTTTGGGAAATGTTTATTGACGAGTAGAGCTGGGTGTGAGTGTTATCAGTAAGCACTTGTTAACTGATTTCTCTCCTTTCAAAGTTCTAAACATTTTCATTGTATACTTCTAAGGGCTCATTGTTTTGTTAATAAAACAAAAGTCAACACTCATTTGCATCACCGAGAGTGCCTCCTCCTTATTCCCAGTGGGGTTTAGTGAGCAGAAGCTGGTTTTGGGTAAAGAGTTAGGAACTAGAAGATCTCCCCTGATGTGGGCGCCTAACAGAGCTTGACATCTAGTTCTATGCATGTTAGTGGTATTATTATTCAGAGTATTTACATAAGAATCACCCTGATAGCTACTGTTTTGTAGACCTCAGTGCTGTGGGAGGCTTTTTCATTTGCAGCAGCTTTTTTTTTTTTTGAGACGGAGTCTCACTCTGTCACCCAGGCTGGAGTGCAGTGGCACCATCTTGGCTCACTGCAACCTCCGCCTCCCGGGTTCACGCCATTCTCCTGCCTCAGCCTCCCGAGTAGCTGGGACTACAGGCGCCCGCCACCACACCCAGCTAATTTTTGTATTTTTGTTTTTTAGTAGAGACGGGGTTTCACCATATTGGCCAGGCTGGTCTGGAACTCCTGGCCTTGTGATCTGCTCTTCTCAGTCTCCCAAAGTGTTGGGATTAGAGGCGTAAGCCATTGCGCCTGGCCACTTTTTTCCTTTTTTGGGGAGTTTTGAAAGCAGAGGAAGACATCACCTCACTTAGGTTTTTTTGTTTTTGTTTTTGTTTTTGTTTTTGTTTTGAGATGGAGTCTAGCTCTTGTCGCCTAGGATGGAGCGCAGTGGTGCCATTTCGGTGCTCACTGCAAGCTCCGCCTCCCGGGTTCACGCCATTCTCCTGCCTCAGCCTCCCGAGTAGCTGGGACTATAGGTGCCCGCCACCACGCCTGGCTAATTTTTTGTATTTTTAGTAGAGACGGGGTTTCACCGTTTTGGCCAGGATGGTCTCAATCTCCTGACCTCGTGATCCACCCACCTCAGCCTTCCAAAGTGCTGGGATTACAGGCGTGAGCCACCGCGCCCGGCCTGACTTAGGTTTTAAAAGGATCACACAACTGCAAGGTCTGTGAATTGAGATATCACAACTCCCATGTTACGGGGACATTTCCTATCATTAGCCTGTTCTAACTGGAATATTTAGGGGCCTACCCTGCTTGAAGGAAATCTGATGTGCAAAAATCCGGATAGAACTAACTTTCCCCGAGGGACTGGCGGTCATTGCAAATTGCTCAGTGTAGCAGAGGTAATGTGGTGATCCCAAGCCTCTGGGCCCCACTTTCTTTCCATTGGAAGGACTCATTGCCCCAAAGCCCATCAGCTGCAGCTCCACAGGGGCCTTCTGCTTGCACAGGCACACACAGCCATAAAAAATGGGTGTTTCTGAATGTCTCCAGGATTAGATAATGGCAATGGTTGTACAACCCATCAGCTGCACCTCCAAGAGCGCCTTCTGCTGACACATGCACACGTGGCCATAAAAAAATGGGTGTTTCTGAATGGCTCCAGAATTAGATAATGGCAATGCTTGTACGACTTCGTGAATATACGAAAACCACCAAATGGCACACTTTAAAAGGTACGTTTTATGATATGTGAATTTTATCTCAGCAATAATAATAAAATAATAAAAATACTCCCAGAAATCCTGTTTGTCATAACGCAAATGCTGGAAACAACCTAAATGTCTATCCACAGAGATCTGTGTTGTTTTTGTTTTTGTTTTTGAGACGAAGTCTCACTCTGTTGCCCAGGCTGGAGTGCAGTGGCACGATCTCAGCTCCCGGCAACCTCTACCTCCCATTTTCAAGCGACTCATGCATCAGCCTCCCAAGTAGCTGGGATCACAGATGTGCACCACCATGCCCGGCTAATTTTTATATTTTTGTAGAGTTGGGGTTTCGTCATGTTGACCAGACTGGTCTTAAATTCCTGATCTCAGGTAATCCGCCTGCCTCGGCCTCCCAAAGTGCTGGGATTACAGGCGTGAGCCACAGCATCTGGCCATGTGTTTGGTTTAGTTTTTACATAAAGACGGGTCTTGAACTCCTGAACTCAAGCGATCCTCCTACCTCAGTTACTGAAGTGCTGGGATTAAAGGCAGGAGCCAATGTGCTCAGCTCCCATCTCTACTTTTAAATAACAAACATGTATATGTATAACTTTCATCTTCCTTTCTCTCTCTCTCTCTCTCTCTCTCTTTCTTGACAAGGTCTTGCTCTGTTGCCTAGGCTGGAGGGCAGTGGTGCCATCATTGCTCACTGTAGCCTCAACTTCCTGCTTCCTGGGCTCAAGTGATCCTCTTGCCCCAGTCTCCCAAGTAGCTGGGACTACAGGTGCGGGCCGACACAGCCTAATTTTTGTATTTTTCATAGAGACAGGGTTTTACTATGTTGCTCAGACTGGTCTCGAACTCCTGGGCTCAAGCAATACGCCTGCCTCGGCCTGAGTGAAGAAGGGACTGCGGGGTTTCACTGTGTTGCCCAGGCTGGTCTCGAGCTCCTGCACTCTCAGGAAATCCACTCACCTTGGCCTCCCAAAGTGCTAGGATTACAGGCATGGGCCACCGCGCCCGGCCACATATACTAAAACATTATACAGAGGTTAGCATGGCCCCTGAGCAAGGATGACATGCAAATTCATGAAGCTTTCCATATTTTAGTGATTACACAATTGCATGTCTGTATCAAAATGCCTTGCAACACATAAATATATACACTTACTATGTACCCAGAAAAATTAAAAATGATTTTTTTTTTCTTTTGAGACAGAGTCTGGCTCTGTTGCCCAGGTTGGAGTGAAATGACTGATTCTGGCTCACTGCAACCTCCACCTCCCAGTTTCAAGTGATTCTCCTGCCTCAGCCTCCCGAGTAGCTGGGATTACAGGTGCACACCACCACACCTGGCTAATTTTTGTATTTTTATTATAATAGAGACAGGGTTCCACCATGTTGGCCAGGCTGATCTTGAACTCCTGACTTCAGGTGATTTGCCCACTTCAGCCTCCCAAAGTGCCGAGATTACAGGCATGAGACATCACGCCCAGCCCTTGGAATTCTTTGTCATTAGCTTCTGTAATTGTCCTCTTTCATAGTCCAATGTAAGCTCCAGGATGGCTGGGGTTTGTTTTGTGTACCTCTGTATCACCGGCCCGATGAAGTCAACAGTGGTTGAAAGAATCAAGGGCAGCTCAGAAACTATATCAAGTGAGGGAAGAGGGAGGTTTCTGACTTGAGTGCTGATGACACAGAGATGGAAACCTGGGGGAAGCAGGGCATCAGATCTCGAAGATGACTTAATTTCTGGGATATCTGAGGTGCTTGGGGAGAGATCTAGGAGAGGTGGGATAGGCATGTCTAGAAAATATTTAACTGTGCAGGGCGTGGTGGCTCATGCCTGTAATTGCGGCATTTTGGGGGGCTGAGGCGGGTGGATCACCTGAGGTCAGGAGTTCGAGACCAGGCTGGCCAACATTTAGTGTGACCCATCTCTACTAAAAATACAAAAAATTAGCCGAGCATGGTGGTGCATGCCTGTAATCCCAGCTACTTGCGAGGCTGAGACAGGAGAATGGCTTGAATCCGGGAGGTGGAGGTTGCAGGGACATGAGATTGCGTCATTGCACTCTAGCCTGGGCAACAGAGCAAGACTACAGGCTCACACCACCACGCTTGGCTAATTTTTGTATTTTTGGTGGAGACGGGGTTTCACCATGTTGGCCAGAATGGTCCCGATCTCCCGACCACATTCACCTTAGCCTCCCAAAGTGCTGGGATTACAGGCGTGAGCCACCACGCCCAGTCAGAACCATAACGTTTACATGCACCAGGAAATGAAAAAATTCATGTGCCTCACTTTGTTGCAGTGGCCTGTAATAGCTAGAAAAATAACTGGAGGAATTTCCCTGACAATTAACAGTGGTTGCCAGGTGTGGTGGCTCACGCCTGTAATCCCAGCACTTTGTGAGGCTGAGGCGGGCAGATCACCTGAGGTTGGGAGTTCGAGACCAGCCTGACCAACATGGAGAAATCCCACTTCTACTAAAAAAAAAAAAAATACAAAATTAGCCGCGCATGGTGGCACATGCCTATAATCCCAGCTACTTGGGAGGCTAAGGTAGGAGAATCGCTTGAACCCAGGAGGCAGAGGTTGCGGTGAGCCAAGATCACACCATTGCACTCCAGCCTGGGCAACAAGAACGAAACTCTGTCTCAAAAAAACAAAACAAAACAAAACAGTAGTTATCCTCAAGAGGTGGCAAGAAGTGGGATGATGGGGGCACTTTCCCTCTGTGCTCTGTACTTGTGTGTTTGAATGGTTTTATATGACTATGTATTACTTCACAAAAAACAGAAAAATTTTAAATTATAGATCTTTTTTAACATACTCTGCCTGTGCAGACATGTGCGGGGAAACACATAGGACCTGAAGAATACACACAGAATGATTGACAGTGGTTACCTGGGGGAAGGGGATGGGGCTTGGGAAGGTTGGCAGGTGAAAGAGAAATTTAATGTTTTGCTCAGTGTCTCTTGCTGGGTTGCTTGAGTCCTACATATACTATGTATTCCTGGTTATAGAAAAATAATGTGAAAAACTTCAGTGCCCAACCCTCGAACCCATCCCTCCAGAAGTGGCAGACCAACTCACCCAGGCGGATGGGAGGGAGGAAAACCTTGGCAGGATATGCACAGTACTGTCCTAATCCCTTCCTTACCCCAGGACCCACACACCCCACCCCGGTTCAACCCACCCCACACACACTCAAAGAGGAGCCAGGGGTCTCATTGTAACACTCATTTTTATATAAATATCCGCAAGTCATGTTACAGAATAAGCCCCACCGGGGAAAAAAGTCAACGTTAGGGTTTTGTTAGATTAACCCCTGCCTTCTAGGTTGGGCCCCAGCCTGGAGGCGCCTGCTGCTTTGGGAAGGCTGGGGTTGCTGCCGTGAGGCTGCCGAAGAAGCTGCCTGTGTCGCCCACCCCTGGGCCGACCCCCTTCTTTGGTGTGTGGTACATGGTGACCTTCTCTGGCCACCCTTAGCCTGGGGCAGGGTTTTGGAGAACAGGGTTCAGGGAAGCAGGGCCCAGGAGTCCTGGGGGCACTTGGAAATGGGGTAAGGGGGACTGAGCCATTAAGAAGTGGTGGAGTCTGAGATTTAGAGGCTGAGCCTTTGAGGGTGGGGGCAGAGTGAATGGGAACATGTTGGGGGAACCAGGGCTGTAAGCCAAGCAGGAAGCTTCTGCCCTTCCCTCCAGCCCAGGTCCCCAGGTCCCGCCCCCTGTTGGTCATCTCCTGCTGGCCCCACTTTCCCAGGGAGAAGCCTGACAGTCCCTTCCCGGCTCTTCCCCCTGCTATCTCCCTTCCCCACAGAGAGGCCAGAGGCTAGGAACACAGCACCAGTCTGAGGATTTAATTAACCAGGAAGGGGACTGTTGGGAGGGGCACCCCTGTAAAAATGTACAAAAGGTCTTGGGGCTATGTGAAAGGGGTGATAAATATGTACATGGAACCCCCCTTCCTTAAGCCCCTCCTCCTCCAGCCCTCGGAGGGCATGAGGACTTGGGTGGTAGGTGAAGGGGAGGGGGCACTTTGGCCTCTGGCTTAGTGAGCCCTTGGGGAGACAGGCCCAGGGCCTAGAGGCCCTTAGAGGGGCAAAGGTGCACCTCAGGAGGCCCCATGGCCCCCGAGATGAGCCACACTCCCATGCACACACCCCTCTCCCTCTCTAGAGGCTGACCTCTGCTCTCCCAGTGACCCTACACTCCATGTGATGCTTGGTCTCGTGGGGGTTGAGGCTTCTGTTCCCAGGTTCCATGACCTCAGAGGTGGCTGGTGAGGTTATGACCTTTGCCCTCCAGCCCTGGCTTAAAACCTCAGCCCTAGGACCTGGTTAAAGGAACGGGAGATGGAGCTTCGCCCCGACCCCTCCCCTCCCCTCACCTGTCAGCCCGAGCTGGGCCGGGGCCCCTAGGTGGGGAACTGGGCCGGGGGGCGGGCACAAGCGGAGGTGGTGCCCCCAAAAGGGCTCCTGGTGGGGTCTTGCTGAGAAGGTGAGGGGTGCCTGGGGCCGCAGCAGGTGGCGGTGGAGGAGCCAAGCGGCTGTAGAGCAAGGGGTGAGCAGGTTCCAGACCGTAGAGGCGGGCAGCGGCCACGGCCCCGGGTCCAGTTAGCTCCTCACCCGCCTCATAGAAGCGGGGTGGCCTTGCCAGGCGTGGGGGTGCTGCCAACCAGGTTGGCTCCAGGAAGCCAGCACAGCGATCTGGTGGGCTAGGGCCCAGAAATGGGGGCGGCCGGGGCCTCTCAAACAGCAGGTGAAGGCCCTGGGGCCCAGTGGCTGCTGCAGCGGCAGCGGCGGCGGCGGCGGCGGCGGCAGCGGCGGCGGCGGCAGCAGCAGCCTCCTCCTTCCGCTCTTCCTTTACCCGCACGGATTCCTTGGTTGGCCGAGGCCCCTCCTCGCCAGCCCGGGCCTTGGGAGTAGCAGGAGAAACTCGGAGCTGGGGCCGTGAGAAGGGGAGGTCCCTGGAGGGCAGGCGTGGGGAGAGAATGAAGTTCTCCAGAGGCAGCAGAGGCTGAGAGTGGGGCAGGGGCAGGGTGGGCGGGAGGCACACCTGTCCTTCTCCTCCTTGGTAATGGAGGGCTCCCTCCGCTCCACAGGCCGCTCCTTGTCTGAGCCTGGAGTCCGGGCGGCCTCAGGGGGCCGGACCCAGGCAGGAAAGGCCAGAGGACTGCGGTGCAGGCGGCCCCATGGGTCCGGCGGGGAGGCGAAAGCTGGTGGGGCCCCTGGGCTTTCTTTCTGGGCAAAGACGGCGCCGGAGTCTGGGCAGAGGGTGAAGCAAAGAGTGACAGGGGCCAGGAGTGGGAGGCCCCATTCAGGCCTCCTCCCAGACCCCGGTCTGAACTGTCACCCCGCGGCCGCAGTCCCCCAACCCCACCGCACCCACACTCACTGAATGTGGGGCTGCCCAGGCCTCCAAAGGCCCCGTTGGAGAGGGCAGCCAAGGAGGCGAAGCTTGTGGGACGCCCAAAGGGATCTGTGGGAGGAAAGGGGGGTGGTCAGAGCACTAGGCAGCCGGTGCTGAGCAGGCACCAAGCCTGGCTGGGCAGAGGCAGGACCAGTGCCTGGAGTCCTCAGCTGCCTGCTTTCAGCAGCCCTGTGCTGAGCACTTCCTTGGGCCAGGAAGGTATTGAGCTTTGACAAGCACCCTGTCGGTTAACTTCACAAAAAGCCCAAGAGGTGGTTAGGATCATGCCCACTTGAAGATGATGAAACAGGCTCAGAGAGGTGAAATGACTTGCCTGGGGTCATCTAGCTAGGGAGCGGTACCAACCCAGGGCTTCCTTGACATGAAGTCATGCTCTTCTCCCCGACTCCCCAACACCAGCCGCCTGGACCCATCGCAGCAGATCTCTGCTCTGCAGCAAGCCACTTGCCTGAAGACCTTTTTGGCTTCTCCGCAACCTGACATGCAGGGCCCTTCCCGACCTGACCCTAACTTCATGCATGCGATGCGTCACACAGCCAGACAGAACTAACCTATCCCGCCACTAGAATGTCACCATGTCCCCAGCCAGGAACACCCTTCCTTCAAGCCACCAGGCTCAACTCCTCCTTATCTACCCAAACCCAGGTGAAACCTCCCCAAGAAGCCCGCCAAGATCCTAGGAGTCAGTGGCCATGTTCTCCCCTGGGCCGGCACGGCCTCCCCACCTTCCCCTCCCAGGTGGTGTACTGCCCCTGCCACTGGCTACTGGGAGACAGGGCTCCAGCTGGCAGAGATTGAAGTCGCCCTGCTCTTCCCTACTCATTTTACAGATGAGGAAATCAAGGCTCAGAGGGGGTAGAGTAACCTGCCCAAGGTCACTAAGCAAGTGGAACCAGGTCTATCCCGCATTCCACCTGCCTGCTGGGTCTGATTTCCATCTCCTGGAAGTCAGGGACAAAGCCTAGGTTGCCCAACACGCCCTTGGCTCTTACCAATGTGGGTGCTGGGGCTCAGGAAGGGTCCGTGGGCCCCGGGAGCTGCCGTGAAAGGGTTGGCTGCAGCGTGGACGGCACCTGGGGCAGAGAGGTGGGAGATTCTGATGAGGCTGAGTGGGCACAAGCTGGGCCTTGGGCTACAGACAGGGAACCTCAGGCCCAAGGGGGCTGGCCAGACTCACCAGTCGCAGTGAAGAGGGAGGCCGGGTGGGAGAGCTCCTGCCCAGGGGGCAGGGCCCCATAGGGCCCCGGAAGGCAGGGCAGGAGGTCGTTCCGAAAGTCAAGCTTGTGGGAGTCACCCTGTGTGCGACACAGGGAGAGGGGCAGTACATGAGGAGCCGGTCTGGTCCCCCTCTTGCTCTCCCACGCGTGGTTCCCCTCCAAAGGCTGGCTGGCACCCAGATGGGGCTTGAATGCCTATCTTCTGCCTCTCTTGGAGCCTTCTCTGAGCAGCCTGCTAATGAGCCAGAGAACTAAGGTGCCAGCCATGGAACTGTTCAGCAGTGATGGGGGACAGAAGAAGATGTTTCTGGCCAAGATTCTACTGAGCTCTGTTGAGGGCCAATGCCCAGAGCTCAGTCCTCCCCTGACTCTGAGACCCACTCTCCCCAGCCCTCCGGCCCCAGTACCTTCATTTTCTCCTGGTGTCTCAGGATCATGTAAGCCACACGCACGTGCATGGCACACCACTTCCCTGGTTTCTGCCGCCCCAGAAGGATGACCAAAGGGAAAGGGAAGGAAAGAACGTTCACTCATCATCCACTCCAGGCCTAGCTCTGGGCCCAGCCTCGCCACAAAACATCCCTACTCATTGTTCCTACAACCAAGGGATGACTAGGTTCATTTTACAGCCTAGGAAACTGAGGCTCAGAGAGATCAACTGCCTTGCCCAAGGTCCCATGGCCAGTTCCATCTGAGCCCAGGTCTGCGACTTGAAAGCCCTCACTCTCTGCTGTTCCACATCCGGCTGCCTCCATGTTTTGGGCTTCTCACTTATTCCCAAGCAAGACCCCCCTTAACCAAACACCCTAACACCGGCCCCCAGCCTCATGCAGCCTGAAATCCTCACACAACTCACCCTCAAAGGTTGCCGGAAATGGTCGGGGATCTGGGGATGGCAAAGGAGAGATGGGAGGCGACTCAGACCCGAGTCCTGGGCCAGGTGCCTCACATCTCCACAGCATTCACTCACCCCCCACATGCCTGAGACACTGGGACTCCCTCAAACCCTTCCTGCTCAGGCCCAAACTCCTTTCCCCATCTCTCCCACTCTAGGCATCTCTCCTCCAGCACAAGGTTTCTGAACCAAGCCCCAGGGAGGTGCCCTGCTGGGAGGCTGCGGGTGGTGAGGGGCAGTCAGGACAGGTTTCTCAGAAAGCTATCCTATTAACAACTTTAGAGTATAGCGATCTGTTTAAGATTTCTTTAAGAAAAATGCCTTTGAAGGAAGTTGGAAAACCTCTGGCCTAGTCTTTCCTGTAGGAAACTGGTCCTGTGCGTTTCACAATGCTCCTGCAGCCCTGGGGTCTACGCTGCTGCAAGTGCTAAGGGGAGGGAGGGAGGCTCTGGCTCTCCTCACTTCACCAAGGGGCAGCTTATCTTTTGTTTTCCGAACAGGGCTTCCTAGTATGATGTCATTTGGAAAAAAAGTGTTTTGTGACTTTATTAAAAAGTTTGAAAACCACTACAAAAACCACTGTCCTAATCATCTTATTCCTGGAACAAGCTCATAAAACTCTCATTCCTCATGCCTGGGAAAGCCAGTTATTTACAGAAATTACCTCTATTAGACACCCGGGAACACCCCTGATTGTGAATTCAAGGGAGGAATCAGTAGTTCAGTCTCCTCAAGTCAGTTCTGTTCTCCCCGCAACACACCTTCCAGCTCCCCCAGGACCTGCCCTGGCCCCCTCACCTGTGTCCCCTTCTGGGAGAGCCCGCTCGGCACCGGCCCCAGTCGTGGTGGCAGCTCAGGGTTCGTGCTCTGGGAAAGGGGAGTGGAGGGATCAGAGAGAGCTGGCACCGAGCACAAAGGGGTCCAGAACCAAGCTGGGACACGGGGCAGGGAGGGATCATGGCTTTGGAGAAACCTGGGTGCAGCAGGGCAGGGCGGGAGGATAGGCACGGCTTTGGGGAATGCGAGGAGGGTGCTCGGACATGGCGTGTCTGGGTATGTCAAGATGGGAGGCAGTGGTGGTGTCTGGATTGGGAGCTCACCTTGGGCTGGAAGGCCCCCTGCAGGGAGCCAAAGGAGACAGCCGGCGGGAGGCCCGGAGGCAGCCCGGGCACTGCGGGAGGGAAGGCCGTGTACGGCTGTGGAGAGAAGGGGACTAGTCCAGGTGGGGGTGGAGGCGCAGCCCAAGTCCAGCCTGCCCGTCAGTCCACGGGTCTCCACCGTAAAGCCCCCCAGGGAGTTCTCCCAGGCTCAAGGCTCTTGCTTTTGTACTGAAGACTGGACCCCAGCAGTCAGGGTCACACGCATGGATGCATCCACGCCCACACCACACACCCCACACACACACGCACACTCACATTATGTCGGAAAAGGCCTTCCATCTTTCCTGGATATTTCTCAAACTAGGGGAGAGAAGGGAAGAGTAAGCTGCCAGCCAGGGACCCAGGCCTTCCCCCGGAAGCCATGCCCTCCCCTGAGGCCTCCGAGCCTCATCACCGGCCCAATGAGGAGCTCACCATGTGGGGGCCGTGGGGTGGCAGCAGGCCTGGGGGATAAGGGGTGAAGTGCTGGTGGGTGTGCTGGTGGGTGTGCTGGTGCTGGTGGTTGTGCTGGTGGAACTGGAAGGCCAGGGGCCGGGCCGAGCCCCCTGCCCCCACCACCTCAGGGCCACCCTGGGCATTCAGGTAGCGAGAGTTCAGGTCCTGGCCGATCAGGTCCTGCTCTGTGGGAGGGGACGGGAGAAGGCTTTAATGCTGTCGCCACATCAGCCTCCTTGGGCCCAGGTGACTGCCTTCCCTCTGGCCTCAAGCCACTCCCTCCTCAAGCCCTGCTGTCTGCTGAGGCCGAGGTGCCCCAAAGCCAACTGGGCCCGAGCCCGGGGCCATGGCCCCCCACCCCCCGGCCAGGACCCCAAACTCACCAGAAAGGGCGTTAGCGGCTGAGGCCCCAGGGTGCCCTGGCACCTGCAGCAGGGGTGGGGGTGGGGGCAGGGTGGGGCCAGGGGAGAACAAGGAGGGGTGGTGGGGTGGTGGGGGGGGCCGCAGCCCGGGAGGGGGAAAGCTGTGGGTAGACAGAGGCAGGGGCAGTGAGGGCGTTGGGGGCCGGTGGGTGAGCTGCGCGGACGAGGAGGAGGCAGATGAGGAGGAGGAGGACGAAGAGGATGATGAGGGGGGAGGCTGAGCCACGGGAGGGGCCGGGGCCTTGGGGGGCGGCCGTGAAGAGCTGGGGAGAGAAGTGGGGAGATGAGTGAGGGGTTGGGAGGTGCCAGCTCTGACGGGCGGGGGTCAGAAGCCTGGGTGATACTGTGACCCTGGTTCTCCAACACGGGAGGTGGCAGAACCTGGCCCCAGGACTCCCCCTCCCCCAGGGAATCCATTCTCAGACTGAGGTGCCTCCCACACCCAGCAACCCCCACTTCTCCCTGTCTAGGTCTCTGCATCCACACAGCTGCCTCTGCCATCTCTGGCCAGATGACTTTCCCTTTCTGACTCAACCACGGCACAGAACAGATCATTCATGTTGACGCTTAATTAGAACAAGCCACCTGGGGTCCCCCACCCTACAACAGTGGAAGCAGCACCACACTGGCCTGGCCTGGGAGTCAGGAGACCTGAATTCTAGGCCCATCTTGCCATGAATGCCTGGGGTGACCTTGAGCAAGTCACTGCTCCTCTCTGAGCCTTAGTTTTCTCAATAACAACAACGATGACAATGACGGTGACAAAAATAATAGAGCATCAATAATAAGTGTCAATAGTTCTTACCCTGTGGCGAGCACCTGCTTTAAAAGCTAATCCAAGTCTCCAACACTCCACGCCACCTTCCCCACTGCTGCCCAGCAGAGTAACCATCTCAACTGCATCATTGGCTTCTTTTAAGAACTCAATTTCTTCTTCTTTTTTTTTTTTTTTACTTAGCCTCCCCCTAAACACGTATGAAATCAAGGGGCTGAGGCATAATACTTAACTTTCTAAAGCTCAAAAAAGCTAACTCATGACTATTTTTTAAAGTTTACTCACATAAAACCTGAAATCATCCCATATGTTACTGACACTGAATGTACACGCTTTGGGAAACACTGCATTCACTCGTAGTTAATCCTCACAGTATGATTATTCCATTTGACAGAAGGAGGAAATCGAGGCTCAGAGGGGTTAAGTGACTTGTCAAAAATCACACAGCCAGGAAGCGTCAGAGCAAGAATTTGAATCTGGGTCTGACACCAAAGCCAGCGCTCTTAACCATCATGTCAGCATTTCCCAAAGTATGTTCCAAAGAACACTATTCCGAGCAGACTTGCCTGCCTGAAAAAGCCTTCTCACCAGCAAATACAACTGGGAAACAGCACAGCCTGGATTCCCCTGCAGGGGAATGTGTAACGGACTCAAGTAAGTCCTGCATTCATCTTTTTCTATTTGTTTTTCTCAAAGTTTTCAGCCTCAGAATCCTTTTTCAAGTCATACCCCACAGGTACCATCCTGTGTCCCTGCCACAGAAAGCAAGGGTTGGCACCAAATTGACCAGGCCCTTCCAGACTGCATCAATCCCCCAGACCACTCACCTGCCAGTGCTGAGGTCCAGGCTGCTGCCATAGGGAGAAGTGCGGAGGCCGAAGGGCGAGACCCGAAGCTGCAGCTGGGGCTGGGGTGGGGGTGGCAGACTGGGGGTGGCCGGCAGGGGTGCAGGGGGTGAGACAGGAGGCCGAGGGACCGGTGGAGGCGGTGGTTCCTTTGGGGGGAAAGGCACTAGCAGCGGGTCGGGCCCCGGGGGCTGTTCTTGGCTCCGCTCCAGGCCCGACACTTTAGGGACCACGGAGAGTTTTGCTTCACAGTTCCCATTGAAGGCGCCGTGGGGGCCCGAGGCTGTGGGGCAGGATGGCAGACATGCTCAGTTGAGGCTCATGCTCACCCCACTTCCCTCCCGTGCCTCCAGGCCCCAGACCTTGGGACCAACCTTTGCTGGTTGAGACAGTAAAGGATGGGTCGAGGTCATCATCGGAGACCTGGGGAAGAAGGGCAAGGGATAGGGTTAGGTTGTGGGCAGGACAGGCCTCCATCCAGGAAGGCCAAATAGCCTCTGGAGGCTGCTAGGAACTGGCGGTAGTAGCAAGTCTGTTCCTTCAGTTTAGCTGAGATCCATCAAAGACTGAGCTCTAGCAGGGCTGAGCTTGGAGAAAGAGCAGAGTGGAGCAGCTGAGCCCAAGAATCCGATAGGCCAGGAGGACTAAATGGAGACAGCGTTGAAGCAGCAGAGAAGCAGGCAAACCAAACCAAAACGTCAGAGGTCACTAGCTGCTGGCCCACAGGCCTCCCTGACTTACAGATACATTTGGTCCACTTAAAACTTTTAGTAAAAGTTTTAAACCAACTGTAGATATTCAAGAATCCGGAGATTCCTCATTAAAACTCAGGCTTGCAGATTCCCTCAAGAATGGGCCCCCTGTTCTTGTAGCAACAGTCAGCCTAAACTAGACAGAGATGGATGAAGCAAATGGACAAGAACCCACTGGTTCACCACAGTCCTATCCAATCAACTTGTGAAACGAAAACAAGACACACATCAGGGAATGCAAATTGAGTTACTTACATGGGCCCAACGGCTACAGCATTCATTTCTAGGACATATTATCTCACAACAAGCAAATCACCCCTAAGGATAAACTCAAATACACCTTCATAAGCTGAGTCCCTACACTGACTACAATGGTTTCTGCTCAGACTTGAATCGACATCTGCATTCTAAGAAGAGGCTGATGACCAGCAGAAGGCCCATCTCAGTGCCACAGCCACTCTGGGTTTCCGTGGAGAACCAGAAGTAGCTCGAGGGCTTTGGAAAGAATAGTATGCTAAAGCATGGACCCTCCATTCCTTGGTCAGCTAGCCCTAGTCACCAAAAGAAAAAATGACGCCATTTACCCTCCCAATCCACCCCCCTTCCTCCCAAAAACCTAATCCTGACTCAACCTAAGCCATGTTTCCCACTCAAGGGAAGGCTGTCTGCTGCACGTAGAAGGCCTTTATGCTGCAGTCCTTTTTACAAGCAGTGACACTGCCCACCCAAGCTCTAGCCCCACTCACCCTCTCGTCCAGATCACTTTCCGCGTCACACTGGGGAGAAGGAAAGACAGAGGTGTCACGAGAGGGAAGAGGCCCAGGGTGGAGTGGGGAGGGGCCAGGACAGGTGGATAGCACTTACTATGTATCCAGCTTCCAGAGAGTGACGGGAGGACGCCTGAGGAAGACCAGAGTCCAGAGGTGAGGGAGGCGGCTGCTGAGGCGGCTGGGAAAGTCGCAGCTCCCAGCAGGGCGCTCATGGGCCTCCAGGATCTACTCTCAGCCTCTCCTTCCAGTTGCTTCTCCCGCCACTGCCCACCCGGGTCCCAGAGCTTTCGCCATTTCCTAAATATGCCGGGTCCTCACCTCTTCGTGCTCTTGCCCAAAACAACTTTTCCCCATCTCTTTTCTTAGCAAACTTCTGACTATACTTCAGGACCTGACTAAGACATCCTAGGGGGCTTTCCCCAACCACAACTCTCCTCCCATCCCCCAGGCAGCACAAGCGGCTTCCTCATGTGGGTTTCTGTAGCATCTCTCCCCATCTTTGCTTTCTGTAGCTTCTCAAGTTTAGGTCTAGGTGTTTGCTTCCTATTTCTTTCCTGCTGGACTGCCACCACCTCGAGGAAGGGCAGGGACCTTATGACCTAACTAAGTTCCTTTGATGCCTCTCTGAATTATCAAAACGTTTGAAGTAGACACAGAACCAGGCAAAAGTAGGTGCACCTAACTGTAGAAAGGCCTTCGTCAGACCCAGATGAGAGTGAGGGCTCAAATTTTCCCTGCTTGCCTCTTTGCCTTTAGAGACTGGGGTCACTGTTTACAAGGGACAGTGGCGTTGCTGACGAAAAACGGGGCTGTGGGAAATAAATTCTGCCTAAAGAGTTCTAAAGGACAAGCTCACCTCTTTTCTTCTCCGCTTATTGGGCCATTTTCTGGCCCGATCCCCAGGGGGCCGGCCAGGCTCCCGATCAGAGCTGTCCCCTGGCTCCCCGGTGGCCCCACTGGAGCCCCCCCTCTTCCGCTTCCCAGAATGCTTCAGCCGATGTTCCAGTCGCTCTGGGGGCTGAAGAGATGCATCCTTCTGTGGAGAAGGATGTGGGACTGAGGTGGATGGAAAAGGGCAAGCTCCCGACCCCTCTAGGGATGACCAAGCTGCCTAAGTACCCCTCAGGCCGGGAAACCGGGTCCCCAGAGACAAGCTCTACCTCCTCCCACCCCAGGGCAGGGCAGAGGCCTGGCCAGAGGAGCCGGTTGCTCTGGTTTGGGGTGCCAGCATTCCCCCCTCAACTCCACCCACTCGGGGCACTGCACCCTCCTTGCTGCCCCTCGGAAACCCCCAAAGCCCCCCAGGCCCATTAGGCCCCACCTGCAAGGCCTCGAGGGTGGCGAAGCTGGCGATGGCGAAGCCATCGATCAAGTCCTCCTCCTCCTCTTCCTCCTCCTCAGGCTCCTCCTCGGCTTCTCCGTCGTCTGCGCCCCCCTCCTCCTCCTCCTCCTCCTCCTCCTCCCCGCG